GGGGGGCACGAACATGCGGAGGCAAAGCAATGGCGGACTCACGAACGGCCGTTAGTCGTCTCATAGCCGTCGCGGTCGCTCGGAAGGGGGATGGGGGGTAGACGGGTAGAAACCTGTATCCCGTGGAGGCCGTCCCGTACATCGGAGAAGGATCGGAAAACTGAGAATACGAGATGTCCACTATTACTACTTAGCTTTGACTTGGATATGTTTGAGCTGTTTCAATAGTGTTCTTTCGGACAGTCCTTTGGGGCATTGAACATGAAGAGCCCGAAGAGCAGAAAGGTTGACCGGACTGGTGCCACAAATGTGGCGCTCGGACACACGGATACACCGGTCCGGGGTGGTCGTGATGTCCACCACGTAGACCGGCCCGTTATTCTCCGTTGTTCGTTAGCGGGCAACTCTCGGAAATCCCTTCCTGTTTGAATTGTGCTTAAATCCCGTTCGTCAGAAACGAGCGGGGACAAATGTCGTGGTGTATTTTGTCCACTTACCACGAACTGTGCTTGAACTCAACTTGAGCCACTTCTGTCCATAACCCAAGCATAACCAATCGTCCCATGGATGTTTGAAGCTGGTACCTACATCGAAGGCCGTGACATTGACCACCGTTAAAGAACAGGCGAGTATCTGCCATTTCGAGAAGCTCTACGACTTGACCACCGTTTTCCATGTGACAGGCTTACAGGCTGAAGACGTGTCGTTTACATAGATACTCATCTATATGATTCTCACTAGGCACTATAGACACCACGAGGCAACGGGGACGGTGTTGAAATCGAGTCCAGAGACTGCAGAAGGACGACTTTGAAATTATGAAAACATATACAACGCAGAATCGATGCACCGTGCACAGCTCAAGAATCCACGACAGAACCGGCGACCAGGTGCCGGCCTACTAATGGAAGTAGAGACATCCAGAAGGCCTCCTCGCGGACGGCGGGATTGATTGCGGCAATGCCAAGGACCTCCTCGCGCTTTTGTTGTGGCATTAACACTCTTAAAGAGATGAATTAGACTAGGAATGGGGCAAAAGACGTGCCAACTTACAATGCAGACCCGACTGTGCCAGGAAGGTAAGAGTGGCGAAGCTGGTCCAACACCGGCACCGGCTTCTTGATCCATCTCTTCTCCTTCGCATCCCACGAGTCTTCTACACACTCCCAACCTCCAAGCGGCGGCGTTCGAGGCCACGGGTAATGGCCAAAGTTGTGAACCCTGTGGGGCTGGTTCTGAGATAGAAAAGCAAAGAAACACGGCACTCAAAAGCACGTACATAGCTTTAAGTGCATCACGCCATTCGCCCTCGGAAGGATTGGGTTGCATGAATATCGAAGACTGGTGGGGCATACGAGGAAGCGCTTGGCGAAATAGTGACTCATACATCACAATGGCAGAGGAGTGTGCTGCTTTGAGTACAACGGTGACGGTGCCCAGTACTTTGCGGAGTCCACCTTGAACACTCTTGAGCTGTTTGTCGTGCTCCATGCGCCTGAAGTACTGCATGGAGGAAGCACGGCCAGCCAGAGAGGGGAACATAGCGAGAAAATCATCCCATGCGGATATAGGGTGCACAGAGATATCGCATACTGTAAAGCGCTGCAGGCAATGTTAGCGAGCGTAGAAAACGCGTCATGTAGTTCGAGGCATACGCGGGCAGGGGATATGCTCTGGGGAGGTCCCTCACGATGTTCGGCATCGATAATGACAAAGAACTCGTCGTAATTGAGGCTCTCGACGGGTTAATTAACTCCATAGGCATCTGCGACGGCGTGTCCAATGCCAAGGCGAAGGCTTTGCTGATGATGATCACTCCAGCGGTGCAAGGGACCGGGCATTGCACCTTTCGTCGACTGAGAACAGTACATCCTGAACATACTTGGAGTGTAAATACAAGCAGAATAAGCAGAACAGCCTAGGTTCTTACTTCTGGAGAGGCCAGTCGGACCTTTGACAGATTTGATCGCAGTATTGAGAAGCAGTACAGCGTTTGCATCTTAAGAGTCTTGTGCTTTCCGTAGGGATTTTCAGACAAAAAGCGCAGCCGTTCGAGGCGCTAAGTGGAGCCATGGTGGGGAAAGCAAGGGACAAAAGAGGAACAGATCAACGGCGACGACTTATCAACATTGGTCACGTGGAAATGCCGAGATGCCGTATCAATATCGGGCGTTAAATTGCGGTTGTGCGCGCCACATATCAATAAAGGCACGGTAGCGCAATTCTACACGAAAAGGTTTGACAGAATTTCACGTTTTAAACTTGTGAGAGACACTGATTTTTCGAAGCCATTGAAGTGAAAAACTTCTATCATTATTCTAATCTCAAAGGCAACGAGAGTGTGGCGTAAGTATTGTCTCCTCACTACCAAAATATTAATATTTCTTCACACTTGGAGGATGAAGCTTCTTCCAACGCAATCTTGACAATGAGATGGGTTACTAGCGGCTCGGTAGCATTAAGGTAAGTCTTACTCCAATGTCCACTCCAGCTACGTGTCCGCTGCCCGCGAATGCTGGATATTAGACCAACGTGCTGCCATCCTATTCAGCATTTGTTCGTCATAATGAAAGCAGCGATGCACACATACCTATATATCCTCACATATCGTACAGGTGAACCATCTCATGTCGAGCCAAGAAACCCTTGGTACGGTCATTAATCTGCAGAATCGGCAGTAACGACTCTCGGATATCACGCCACGCGTACCACCTTGCCATGTCGAAAAGACAACGGCCGCTTCGCACGTCCTCGTTACCACGTAGCCCGTCTAGAAATGCAGTAGGAGAGGAATCCCAGGGAGCAGGACTGGAGGGTCCGTCCCTGTCCTGTCCCACTTGGATTGGCGGGGGGTTCCATGATGTTAAAGGCTCCCTGTATGCTATCATGGTCTTCAGGAGAAAGTGACGAAGGTCTTTGTCGTCGGTGCTGTGGTTGAGGCGTCCCTCTGCCTCATGAAGCTGATGGCGAAGGTATTCCTCTGCTCGATGACCGAAGAACTGTCCGAAGTCCAGCGTCAAACGATCGATAAGGAGCGCCAGTGGAATTGGGCGAAGGTTGGGGCGCCTGTGACGGCGGACGTGCGCGGCCACAATGCCACGCGCAAACTGTACAAGCTGGCAAAAGACCGCACGATAGCGTGAGGAAATCCATACAGGATCGTATTTTCGTTCGTGGGTGGAATTCCCATAATCTTCATCCTCGTCGGACGAGTAAGGTGCGACGGGAACTTCACCATATTCATACCCGATGGAGAGATCATACTCGGCTGCTTGGGCGAGGATCCACCGTACGAAGGCAAAGCGGGCTGCAGTGAAACAGCGTGCTTGATCGGATGGGCATAACAGGTCGGCGTTGTGAATAGCGGACAACGGCAATATATCACCACATTCGTCTCGATATGTACGTGGACGCAAAGCAAAGGCGAACACGGAGACGGCGCCAAGGAGGAGATGACGACCGGGGTTGCGTTTGGAATATTCCACATCTTGAACATATGAGCTCAAATACCTAGGCGAGGTGCTTGGTAGGTACTCACATTCAGCTTTGTGGTTCTGTGGCCCATTAGGAATCCAATCGATGAAGCTCGTCAGATAGGGGATAATGTGGTCATGCACAGCACTATCCATTGTGCGGCTGCCTAACAAGGAGTGGATGACACCGTAGCAGCTGATTTCGAGCGTGGTCTTGGAGTAAAATCTTCTTCGACGTAGTATTGTCGGTCTCAACGTAAGGGAGCAGTGAGGAGTACATGGTCGCATAAACCTATGATGGTTTGTTTGAGATAGTTCTGCATAATATGGTGATATAGGAGGAAGCGTACAATATAGTCCCTTTGCAAAGGGACAACCCTTCCCAGCGAAACCGTGCGTCAACTTTGAATTCGTCGAAGTGTTGGAAAGCACAACATGACGCGGGATTCAGGTGGCCAACGTATGCAGGGAGAGGCTCGCCAACGACTAGGTACTTCTCGCCTTCCAATACATAAACCACGGCGGCGAGACCAGCCGTCTCCACCTGCATTGAGGGGCCGGAATCTACTGTGACAGTTTCTGTGGACAACGGCGACGGGGAATCATCGTGGGTTTGGTCTGCTTCGGTGAGGATCCCGTACGTAGAGGCATACAGATCCATGGCTGGTATATCGTGGGCGAGCGCACTTGGGGTAGTATCAGATGCAGAACCTGGGGATCCGTGGTAGTTGGCTTACCGCATTCCTGGTATACCGTCCGGCTGGAATGGACGATCCCCTAGTGAAGTCGAGGTCTGTTTGTGTTCAATGGGTCGGAAGTCGGACATGCCAGCGCGTAGCCCTTCGCCCGCAACGTTCATAACATATGACCCTTCAACCCATGGATTAGGGGTTATCAATGTCGGAAATAAGAAGGAAAACGCACCTTGACCTTCTATGGCGGGGTGTTCGATGTCCCTATGGTACGTATCGTTCTCCAACCGATCATAATCTTCGATCGAGTCACACCCGTAGACCAAGATGTGACGGTCTCGAAATATATCTTGTATGACCTGTGGCTGCTCGCGAACCATCTGTACAAAAGAAGAGTACTTGACTCTGAATACAGATGACTGATTCGGTCTTGTGTGGTAGTAGGTAAGGCTTGAGGCGTTGAGGTGGAGATGTAGTGGTCGTGGTACAGCGTGAACGGTTAGTGGGTCTAGCCTTATGGAGCCGCATCTTGAGTCTCGTTGCACGGTGGTGATGGCGTGTAGGAGTGAACACAATTTCTGAGTCTGGCAGCGAAAAACGTCACCACAGTAACAAGCGCAGAATATAGACAAACTATACAGATGACGCATGAGGGGTATACGTGGTTTTGCGCTTCGATGACGGTCGATTTACGTCCCATAATTCGAGTTCATAGGTACCTGCCGTGACGGCTGTGCCGTCGGCGCACCGGTCTGAACTGCGAGTGCTCTTCTACATGGACGAAGATAGTTAGATGTGTGAAAATAATGTGCTCAGTGTCTTACACTCACGTTTCGTAACGGGGTGAAGAAGTACGTCCTTGAATCTGCGCAGTTCACAGCGATTAACATAAACACAGGACCGAGTACGATTATGTTACGCACCGGTACTTTCTGCATTTCCTGACGATTGACCGTCGTGTTCATCGGAAGGGTGGCCTGTACACAATTAATAGGGTACCCTTCAACAAACAAGTCCTTTCTTTGTGACTTGCCTGGCAAAGATGTGGTGCAAAAACTGAGGGGCCTGTCGGTGTGATCATTTTTGGTGTCTTCGGGTCCCAACAGGCCGTATGGTGATGGTGTTGGTGATATTCTGGGTTTCATGAAGTGCCGTGAAATATGTCTCGTCTCTACCTTAGAAGCTATCACATGGTTAGATTCAGACATGTTCAACGTATAGAATGACATACCATGGAACCAATGAGAAAGCGCAGGGGCCTCTGCTTGCCGTTTCAATTTAGCCTCGGGAGAGTTCCAGTAGCGACAGAGACTCTCAAACTCCCTCGAAGCATCCCTCCCATGACCAACATTCAGAACGGCCTCCCAAATCAAATCCTCCATGTGTGATAGAAATCGAGGCTTATCAGTGTTCCCAAGTGCGGCGCCGATCTGATCAAAAGAAGAACGAGTACTGAAAGTTAGAGCGCTCAGAGCACAATGTAGTTGGAGTCACTGTGGTTTACCGAGAATAGTGTTCGCCATTGCCCACGATTCTTGGATGACGTAGATGTACCGGAGAGGAGAAATAAAGGCGAAATGCAGAGCGAAATCACCAAGGGTTGCATGACGGCGTAGCCCTCGAAACAGACCGAGGCCATGATGGTTTCCTCGCTCAGTAGGCGGTGCTCCGCGCACTTGCTGTAGACAAGTTGAGTATGAGTGTTGACGCAATGTCTGGAGGACTCACGCTATTAGACGAGCCTTATACTCTTCGATTGTAGGGATCTTCGATGTGGCGTCGGACTGTCGAAAAATCAAACAATATTTATGGCCCGAAGGTTGCATAGCTCTTACGTTTTGCATGACGGAGATGGCAAAGGCGGCTAGCTCTAAATTTGTGATCGCTGTGCATTGCAATGTTCGCCCGTCGCGATTACACGCATTGCACAACAACCCGACTTCGCTACGAAGGATGCTTTTCGGATCACCATATGTTTGCCAAGCGTCAGGCCGTGGTACAGAGGGCTCGATGATCCCTTCTTTCTTCTCGCGCATTTCAGAGAGCTGTAACGTAGTGTCGATGTGGGTGGGCCAGTCATTGAGAAACTGCCTGTAAAGCTTCGCAGTTGACAAGGAGTAAATTATTCTGGGGAATATTACCTACTGATTAGACCGACGCACCTTACGTCCTGTAGAGTCATTCTTGAGCGTTCTCAGCCAAGTGGGGCTCGCCAGAACCGTTGGTGGCTCGGTACCGTTGATTCCCGCGATATGGGCCAGGATGTCCACTAGCTTGTATTCGAGGAACAGTCGGAGCATTTGATCAAAAGCCGTCCAGTTATGATTGGTAGCAGGATCTGTTGATTGAAAACTCCCGAACCGGAGCTCGACCCACATCGAAAGGTTCTCCGGACGACTTTGCAACATATCGGGGCTCACAGAAGTGTCAAGCTTTTGCGCATGGCGCTATATGGATGCGTCAGGTTATAGAATGTGATATCACAAAAGGCAGACCATACATGTAAGAGGATTGGTACCATATCGAGAGGCCCGTGTAGATCTTCAGGGTCCTTGTAATCGCCACCCTATCATAGTTTCAGTTAGAAGTGCCATCCAACCAGAACACAAACTAGGTGCCACACTGTTACTGCCGCTTCAAACCTCCGTTCGGAACGCGAAAGTAGATGATTTGGTCCAAGATCCTCTATGCTCTGTCGCAGGGCGACTTCGGACGTGATGAGCGAGGTTTTCCATGGGAGCAAGCGTAACGTGGCCATCTGTGGGCGGATGGACAGATATGATTCGTCTGGGTTATCTATCATATTAAATGCTGAAAATCTGAGCAAGGCAGGGCAGTAGATGGAAGTATCGACGGACAACCACTCGTACTGGCACTGAGGTGTAGTACCAGATGAGGTTGCGATACATAAACGTTTTACCTAGCGAGCATATACGGGCTCCCGGGAATAGTATTTAGGTGACACGGGCCGGTAGCCTCCGTTCCTGTTGTCAGCCGATAAATGAGTGCCGCGATCTGAAACTCGAGATCTAAAGAACGCACTAATCTTAATGTCCATTGCAGTGGCAAGTGGAGGTAACCGATTGTCGTTCTCAAACTTTGAGCCTGTATTTCGTGACTGCATCGGCGGGCAAGTCGTAATGAACGAATCGACGGCAAAAAGAGTACGGAATTGTCAGTAGCCTGCCATGGCCAGTCTCCTGAACTTCTGGAAGGCATGTGGACCTAATGAGCGTTTGAAATGACACTCACATGCGACTTGCTACCGCTGTTGCTTATACCGACACAGGGCTTATCTCAGGCTCGGCCACCACTTTGTCCCCGTCCTCTCTCTCTCTCTCTCTCTCTCTCT